TAGTCTGTTTCTTTCTTATTCCGAGGTCACCGTAGCCACCAGATCCAGTCTGTATCTAGATCAGATGGTCACTGCAGTCACCCGGATCTAGTCCATATCAAGCCCAGATGGTGGATCAGCACCTAGAAAGGACCTCTACAGCCCTGAATGTCAGCGGAGATCAGGATAACTAGATGAGCCCCAGAGACAGATCCCCAGTGAGGACCTTGTCTCCTAGACGGCCACCGGGACAAAACCACAGGAACCAGTCCTCTGTACAATCTGACATTGCTGCAGCCTGGAATTGAACTGCTGGTTTCATCGGGCCAGAGGAGAACTGGCCCCCCGACTGAGCCTGGTTTCTCCCAATGTTTTTTCTCCATTCTGTCACCGATGGAGTTTTGGTTCCTTGCCGCTGTCGCCTCTGGCTTGCTTAGTTGGGGACACTTCATTTCCAACGATATCGTCAACTTGATTGCACAGATACTATTTAAACTGAACTGAGCTGGATGATGACATCACTGAATTCAATGATGAACTGCCTTTAACTGAAAATTGAGTGTTTACTATTGTCATTTTGCATTATTGACACACTATTTTCCTATTTAATACTGTAAAGTTGCTTTGACACAATCTGTATTGTTAAAAGCGCTACATAAATAAACGTGACTTGACTTGACTTGACAACGTATAACGACGTACATATGTGAAATATCCCTTTAAAAATAATGGCCCCAAACATAGCGACTTAAAAGCTTGTTCGATTTTTTATGCAAGGCTGCATACCTAGTAAAAGAAGTGCACTTTAGCATACTTTTAAAAAGACTTCTTATTGCAGAAATAATATACTTTAAAATAATATGCATACGTGCAAACTACATGTAGTGTTATAGGGTGCTTAATTGCATGTTAATTGCAATTAAAATGTACTTTGAATTTATATTAAATGGAATTAGCTGAATTTAGAGTGCTTTTTGACACACTTCAGTAGAACTTAAGAACATCTTTATACGTAATTTCCTAATTACTTCTATTATTACATAAACCATGCTGAAATATGGTTAAAGTGCACTGCCGAATACTGACAAACATTTCTACTGAGAACACACACACACACACTAAGATTTGAAGTACACTATGAAGTGCACTTGTTTTTCTCAGGGGTAGCTGTATTGAGCATGTGTTGAACTGGCACACGCGTGTAGGTGTGTTGAAAGTGCACTCATATGAGCGATTTACATGTGTGGAAGAGTATGTCTAATTTATGTAGCGTGTGCTGTGTGCACACGTGTGTGATTTACTGCAGTGAATGCATGCGTGGAGTGTGTATGGGTCGGTTCATGTGTGTGTTTACAGCTGAAGGAAGCAATCACATGCAGCATGTCTAAGAGTGTGAAAAGCCTGCAGCTGATACTGTGCGAGTGTGTGTGTGTCATAAACAGAAGGAATTACGTGAGTAAGAAGTGCAGTGTGTGTGGAAGCAGTCAGAGCTGTAATGTCTGTTAAAGGGTTAGTTCACCCAAAAATTAAAATTAACCTGTGTTTTACTCACCCTTAAAGCATCCTAGGTGTATGTGACTTTCTTCTTTCAGACGAATCCAATCGGAGGTATATTAAAAATTGTCTTTGATCTTTCAAGCGGTTTCATGGCACTCAGCGGGTGTTGCATGCATCTGTCCAAAAGCAGTTAAATAAAATGCGCCCATCCATAAAAAAAAAGTGTCTCACACAGCTCCGGGGGGTGAACAAAG